CCCCCCCCATATACAAGTACATGCTTATGGTAGACGCATGTCTTCACCATACGTGGAGGGCTATGAAAGTGATGGTGGCGCACAGATTGCCGCAGGGATTTTCTGTTTACACCCCCGAAACGCAAGCCAAGGTCGGTGACGACTCCACCATCAAAAGTACCGACCAAAGGAGATTGCCCACCTTCGCCAACAGAGCAAAAAAAAGCTCCGCTCCACGCCAACGCTAACTCCCCAACCATCGCCGGACTCCGACAAACACTACTTTTCTGTGTTTGTATTTTTATGTTTCCTTATAGGACCAACGCTAGCTCCCCAACCATCGCCGGACTCCAACAAACATAACTTTTCTGTGTTTGTATTTTTATGTTTCCTTATAGCACCAACGCTTTCGCCCACCCATCGCCGGACTCCAACAACCATAACTTTCTGTGTTTGTGTTTGTGTTTCCTAATGACACCGGCGCTTTCGCCCACCCATCGCCGGACTCCAACAAACGTTCCCCAGTGCGGGAGAGCTTGGGTCTATCCCAGCCTAAATCGTTTGTGACATATTTCGGTTGATTGTTTTGGTTTTAGCTGAGCCCCCCCCCCTCCCTCCTTTCCCTTGTTACTTCATATGTGGGCCCCCCTCGTTTGTCTCTGGGACAGGTACTGGGCACTCCATCAAGCCGCGGCGGACAACGCGAGCGCCGTCATCGTAAGATTCCGAACAAAGCCGGAGCAGGTCCCGGAAACATGCCCGGAAGAGGCTTCGGGGGACAACCCCTAGCAGGAGGATCTGCGCGAGAATTTTCTTCGGGGAGACCGGCCGTTTCAGAACATGGACGAGGAATACGAAGCAGCGTCCGGAAATTCGTTCGGAAGGGTTTTCGGGAAGTTCTTCGGTTGGATCTTCAGAAGGATATCCGGAAAGATCCCGAAGTATCATGTGAGGAATAAGGAAGCATGTCTAGCGCAAGGTCTTCTGGGTACATTGGCATTCAGAATGACCTTCGGAAAGCCCGTCCGAAGGGCCTTCGGAAAGGGTATGTGTACGCGGAGCTGGATGTCTCGCAGTGAATGCAAGCTGCACACTGGAATACCAGCCTGTTGATGGAAAAAGCGGTTTGTTGACGGCAAACCAGTTTGTCGATGAATACCAGCCTGTTGATGGAGAAAGCGGTTTGTTGACGGCAAACCAGTGTGTCGATGGAATACCAGTTTGTTCAATGCCAATAGCAAGGGGTGTCTACAGAAAGGGGAGGATGTCTGGCGCTTCCATGCGAACGGTGCAATGGAAATACGGTTTCGTTTAGTACGACAGCTCTCAGGATATAGATTCTCGTACAAGCGCTATTCAAGGGGTTCTGCGACGCTTATGAAGCGACACTGCACTATGCTCTGGCCACCACGCCACACATCGAAAAAAGACAAAGAAGACGTGCAAAATCGCTCTGATTACTTCTTCCGGCCCTTTCTCTTCCAGAGGCCCCCTTGCCCTCTTGTCTGGCCGTATTTTATGTTTGATGGTACATAACCTCAAACTAGTAATGACTGGGGGGGGGAGGGGT